TCATTCAATGCCAAGTTTGGACTTAGGGTGGATTATTAATCAAATCGAGGCATATTGCTAAACAGTACTATTTTTGCTGGAATGCGTGTCAAGAACAAATGAGACCTCAAAGACGTTTTCTTTTGCCGTTAGGCTTATATACTTTTTCTGATGATTTGCGAAACAAATAGTCTTTTTATGTTCTTAAGACTATTCAACGACTATAACAACGTAAGCGGTACTCGATAAAATCTTATATGAATATCTTATATGATTGATTCCTTTAAAAAAAATCAGAGTAAGTTAAACTGGTTCTACTAGATTGCAATGGCTGATGCCTGAAGTGATGTGATGGTTCAATGTTCTGGACATGATCGATTTACTCATATTTTAAAAGCCAGTTAACGAGCGATATCCTGCCATTTTATTTTTGAAATTTTCTCCAACAAGAAGAAGTGATAATAGAAAATCAAACACACTTCCCCATGCAGTTTTTCACATATGTACACACATATACACATGCAAATATGTTGCTTGGCCACTTTTAGTGCGTTTGGGCAGTACATACGCACGTACTCACTTGTTTATCTTCACTTTCCTCCATACACGCTAAACAATATAAGAGTCAGCGTGATTGCACTTTAAACTTCAGTGCCACGATGTGATGCACTTAACATTTTTTGTATTTTCATTTGAATGCATAATCATTTAAAGAATACTGACTCTATTGAAAATATTCCGGTCAAGTGAGCAATCAAGCGAAATTGTTAAAACGGATTACACATGTACATACATACATACAATCAACAAAATTAAGTAAGAAAGTATAAAAAAATATATAAAAAGTGATAAGACTAAAATTGATGCGCTCGGATTGGTGAGGTCTTTGCGGGTAAATGTGGTCTAATGAGCCACAAAACGTCTTGTGTTTGAACCCTGTCTCAAAGCACAGTGCTCGGCTTGCACATATTATATCCAAGATGCTACTTTTTCCATGATKCTCCATTGAATGACTATACCTTGGCTTATATACGTTAATCAAATGCTCTAATTTCTGCGACTTCCTACCGCCATACAATAATTTTCAGAATTAATATATATTATGGTACAGATGTCGTGGCCTTTAGGCTCATAGTCATACGTGAAGTTTGATTTCAGAGCAAATATACACTAAATTTTTTTTCTTCTTTCAATAAACACCCATAACTTACGTTTGGGCTCTCTGAAGTTGTAGAGTGTAGACGCCAGCGATTATTTATATTATTATTTAGAAGAGGATATTTATTTAAATTATTTATACATAACATATAKGTATGTTAACTCATATTGTAAATATGCATGTATGAAATCTCTTAATGACATTGATATGCATAGCTTGGCTGGGAATTAGGACACTCCCAAGCCAAATTGTTGTGTTTTGTTGTTATTTCTTGTTATGCTGCTGACGAAAATACTTCATTGGTCAGGACAGCCAAACAGGTTGGTTGACTGCCTTTGGTGCGGCATCTGCACGGAGAAGTCACGTCGTCGCGACGCACTCAAGTTAAATTCGTAAGCTGTAAAATCAGGTGCAATTTCCACCACAACAAGTTTCTTTTTCAGTTTTATACTATTCACAGGAACACACATTTTGATGAGGAAAATTCACCAATTTCAGTTGCGTAAGTGGGCCACATTCCAAATTTTATGTACATTTGAGGTTTAACAAATTTAGCTAGAATCCCTTCATATATRTATGTTTTCGAAAAAAAWTTTAAATTAAATATTTCTACAGTGACTTTACAAAAGCGTTTTATTGAGTACACGTAAGATTATATTCAATAAAGTTGTTTCTTACGATTTAATTCCCAATTTCCATAATGTCTTGAGATGTATTTAACGATGAAAAAGCGCTAGCTAAGGGGGCAGCCTGCTTTAGAGGCTTAAAAAAAATCGATTTTTTTTAGCATCTTTTTGGGAGGGAAAGAAATATTTGATTAAAGCGAAATTTCTATGATTTATAGGTACATATATGTATATGTATTTAAACATTTTTCACAAATTTTTTGGATACGAAATCTTTGATAATCTGCCTTTGGGCAAGGTACAGGTCGCAATTACAACAAAAATAAATATTTTTTTAATAATTTATCTACTAGTTAAACGAAAAAAAATCAAAATTAAAGTGTATACTTTTATATATTTTTTAAAAATTGAAAAAAAAAAAGTAGTTTTTGACCAAAAAATATGTACTTTTTTTATTTTAATATATGTAATGTACATATGTTCAATYTTGACTTTTCTTAGTTTTTTAGTTTAAATAAAAGATAATTGAATGCCAAAGATAATAAATTTTGCCCCAATTCCAACGACGTTTAGTTTTACTCTCAATCCTGCCCGCCAATTAAGGAAAATCGTAAAAATAAAAAACCGAGAAATCTAGCGTCAAAGTTTTCGCTTTCTGCCCAAGCGCTATATATGTATCTGCTAGACACTCGGTCACTATTTCCCTTCTGGGTTCGAAAATATTTCGAATTCCCGTCTATAACTTTGGCGACATATTCTTAGATCATTTTTAAAGAGATTTAAGCAGAAGTAAAATTCAATTTTTTTAACCTTCTAAAGCAGGCCCCCCCCTTAAAGCATCAGAGCTCTGTACGAAAGGTCATATACTCAGAATTGTGACTGGCATCTGCATATTGCCGCAAATAATAATCCTGTTCCAGTATCCAACRAAAACTGTAATCTACTAGCCTTCCGCAAACATGTACAAAACATAGAATTGTACATAGGCGCTGTAACCGAACTAATTGCGCTTCAAACTGTAAAYTATACAAGCTCGAATGAGAGAAATCTTTAAGTAACTGACGTTTATCGATAGTCGGTCAACGTAAGACTGTATCAATAGCTCTTAATTCATTTATTATTAAGTAATTACATTTCTAGTGGAAAGTGACACTACTATACTATCTAAAGTCCTAAGCATATCAAATCAATAAGAAAAGTCATAGCTGCATAAAATGTTACCTGAATTGGTATTCTAATTGGTTTCGCATTCACCGTATTCCTCATATCTGGTCTAAAACAAGGTTGCAAATAATTTATAAAAAATAATTGATTTTACATCATAATATTTTCTTTTTTAAATCCCGATTGTAGTAAAAATTTATATAAAAAATTATTTTTAAACCCACATAAAGAATTGAAAAAAATTTCATATAGTAATTAAGAATTTAAAGAAGGAATTTTGGGGTACATCGTGTTCTACTATTTTGATATAGAGATCACGCAGAGACATCACGTTCAATACTCTAAAAAACTGTATTTTTTAAATAAAATTTTTGATTTGGAGTATTCGCACAAATGATCAAAAGCATCTCAACACACACAATGTTCTTTACTGATAATTGCCAAACTGACTGCGAGAATAAGCAGATATGATCACGCATATTTCTATGTATGCAAATATATGTATAGACATACATACATACATACATACATATGAAAGTATGAAAATAAATATGCGCCATAACAAGTTTTTTTTAAATCTATGTAACGTGCACTCACTCAAAAAAAAGCTAATGCTCATTTCCCCATTTCCAATTTGATTAAAAGCTACACATACATATGCGTAAAGCGTAAAGAGCTTCTCTTGCATTGACTGGATGGGCATGATTTTAATGAGCCAGCGAATAACTTATGKTGGTGTCAGACAGCTATTTCTATTTTAATCACACCGATCGCAAAAGGGAGATACAAAGAATTCAAAGACCTTACATATTTTTACACGCTTATATGCTACAGTGTAGACCTCTACTCTATAAGTGGTACACATCCATATAAAAAAAAAAGGATAAATATTAAGCTAGATTGCAATTCAAAAAGTATATGACGTTTTCCTAACGGAATGTTAAACAATTTAAATTTTTAATCATTTTCACCTTCCTGCCCATTCTCACACTTTCCGCATGAATCCTCACCCAAAACTGCAATAATTTATATGTAAATTGTATGTAAACATTCTTACTTCGTAGCAGCCACTTGTATGTGTGTTCACTTAAATTTTGTTTACATTTACATTGTACATATTACAAATTGAGGTCAATAATGTTGTATGGGCAATGTGCTCTCATTTTAATTGCATGGCTTCTTAAAAAATCGGCCTTAATAAGCGATTCAAAAGTGGATATTTTAAACTAATTATTATTAAATAGGTATAGCTTTTTAGGAAGAAATTGTAAGTTCGATAATGCAAAAATATATTTTTGTGCATATCCATACAAYCGTTAGGTGAACAGAACTATTATACTCTGTAGCAACATGTTGCAAAAGTATAAAAACCAATAAACATCTAATCATCTACAACATATTCACTTGATGAATTCTTTTATGCAAAAGCGGAAATATGGTTCAATGTTTATTTTCTGAATCCAACAAAAGTTCTATAGAAAGAGAGAAAGAAATTATCTGCATTTTGGATTTTCCAGTCCTTGCACCGAACATTTTTTACCATAAACATATGGACATATGTACGCATTGGTATTCACAACCGCCAGCTCTCAAGAATATGTATTAGACAAACAATTTAAGACTCCTAAATATAGTATAAGTAAAAATAACACATTTTCTTCTGTTAAATTGTGGGGATTTAATATTATACTTTTGTCCCTTCGTTTTTTCGTAATTGACCAATTGTAAATGCATACGAAAAATGATACTCCTAATGCTACCAATTGCTGTGCCTTGGTTCTCATTTGGGATTTACGATCATGTCATAATATCGTTTTAAAAATATGCTATTTTTTCTCTATATTTGGTTAGTTCAAGCTGCACATTGGATATGTAYAAGCACATGTACCAATATAATGCAGTAAGTACTTAATGCTGATCACATTGATGAATATTACAGTTGTCAGTAGCTTCAGAGCTCAGACGACTATTTAAAATTTTAGCGTTCTATAATAGTGAATAGCCAAGTATTTAGAAATTATTGAAAATACGTAGWCTACTTTACTTTAAACTAGTACATCTGCTGATATTACCTTTACGATGGGTTGGTATCTTTTGTTATCGCTTCTCGTTTCGGTGCTCTTGATATGTTTTACTTATTTATGAACAATATATGCATGAAGCTATTTTCTTTCATTGAAAGAAGTCATGCGATACATTGGGTATAACTCCATATAATATATCCAAAACATTCAAATTTTATTTTTATACCATGGACACCTGTTCTTTAATACGATCACTTATTACAAGGAAAACACTGTTCAGCATTGCATACGTCTTGTGGGCATAACATATTTGTTACTTCTTGTTTGCTTGGACTTTGCACATATGTTTCTTTCACTGTATCAACCCTGTGTTTTAATTAATTTCGTTCACCAGTTATTCACATATTCTTAATATGTGCATATGCACATATGTATCACCAAAAGTAAAGAAAAACAGTAATTTTGGTCACATTTGTTTTGTTGCACTCTACCAGTTTAAAATTGCCCTTTTATTATTTGTATACATTATTTCATTGGTAAATTATTTTAGCCACATTTTCAATGCASTTATCTTAAACTTTACACACCTAACCATACAATCTCTATTAATTTTCTGCTCTTTCATGCACTTTGGTTTCGGTACGTTTTGCACCAYCAACTTCTTATTACTTCAGCGAAGAAATTGCTATTACTTTGCAAAGAATTTAAAGCAAATATATAACACTATTGGTAAATTTATTTTTCTTCCTTCATAACTAAAGACGAATACTTTAGTTATTCTTTAATTGAATTAATTTTAATAGAAATAAACTTTATTCAATTAATTTATAACACACAACACAAGCGAAAACGAAACACTGAAGTTAGTTTTTAAAATGCCGGACATACAAATTACAATTAGCCGAACAGAATAATGATAATAAGTTTCTATAAGCAACCCTGACTCAGGGTTGCCTAACTCCATAAATAACATTCTCGTTCCGTTCCGATAACTTTCCATTGTTTGCAACATTTTCAGTTTTCATTTTTAGTACTTATTTACGGTAGACGAAGATTGAAATATTTAACTCCAAACATTGTTATCAAAGTTCTRTTGCTTGAAAATCAAGCTCAATCGTTCATCTCTATCAGAAGTTCCCTAATGGGAGGAATATGGGAATTTCGTCGAAACAACAAAAAAGTTTGTTTATTTAAAGGTGAAAAAGTATAAACATTTTTAAGGATAGTTAAATCAATCGAAAAGGGAGTTGTAACAAAATATTTATTTTTATTTTCAAACTATTTGAAACACCCTAAAGGGAGTTGGTATTGACAACTGCAGAGAACCATTTTTTGCATCCCTGCAGTCGAAGATGTAAAACGAGCAGATGTTGAAAAATCTACAAATTCGTAGAGTAGATTACTATTGGTAAAATTGTTTTATTATTGTTGATTCAACTCTCTTATATACGGTTTAAAAATTTATAAAGACCTGTGAAGCACGTAAAGGAAGTGTCTTATTATAACAGAAAGGAATAAACTGGAGAGGCTTCATTGAGTTGCAAGTAAAAATATAATAAGCACTCTTTCAACCAAATGAGAATTGCGGACATAACATTTGTAAGAGCCTAAAAATGTCAAATTTGCAACGCAGTATTCTCAAAAATAGACTACCGCCTACAATACCTGGTGGTCGGATTGGAAGAAGGTAATCTAGTAKTTTATTCCTCGTCTTTGTATTTCATATTCGGCTATTACCAAACATATGTAAAATTAAAATTTGTTATAGCGACTCATTTAAAAAGTCCCGAATTAGGGATTTCAAGCCGGCACYCTGGAGTGAGTTCTTTGCTGAAAAAGAAGACGTGGTCTTAGACGAGAATCGTACTTTCCGTATATATCGTACAAAAACCCCWGAGAAACCTGGGCCGATTTTACTACTTCTTCATGGAGGGGGTTATTCTGGTCTGACATGGTCGCATTTTTGTGTAAGTTAATGTACATGCAGTGAAATTTTTATACTAATCGGAGTTATATTTGTTTAAGGTGGAAATAACCCGCATTATTCATTGCCAGTGTCTTGCAATCGATTTACGAGGTCATGGCGACACTAAGACAGAACTTGATGACGATCTTTCCTCAGATACACTTGCAAAGTATACATAATATACAAACAAAAGATATATGTARAAATACTTTTCTTTATAGGGATATAGGAGACCTAGTATTGCAGCTTTACCAAGAAGATATTCCTCCCATCTACCTTGTTGGTCATTCGATGGGAGGTGCTATTGCTGTTCATTTCGCGCACAAGGCAATTGTCCCAAGTATAATTGGTATAACTGTAATTGATGTAGTCGAGGGAACCGCTATGGAAGCTTTGGCTAGCATGCAAAGTTTTCTACGTTCGCGTCCCACTCACTTTAAAAGTATTCCAAATGCTATAGAATGGTGTATTAGAAGTGGCCAAATAAGAAATGTAGAGAGCGCCAAAGTTTCAATGCCTGGTCAAATCATTAAGTAATAGTTTAAATTTATTTGTTTAGACCAATATTAAATAAACACTGTGTGTGTGTATTTTCAGTTGTGCAACGCAGCAGCTAGCTACAAACGAACTACCATTGTCTGAAGATGAAATCGAGGACAGTGCCTCAACAAGTAACTTTACACATCCTTTCAGTATTTCCGAAGATGAAGAAATGGGCAACGATAATGGAGGTGATTCCGTTACTTCAGCTGCTAGTACCGCACTCGGGGGAGAAAATGATGGTAGCTCGGATTCATCAGATTTTAARAAACCATTTATTGGACACGTTGAATCTCCGAAAAGGTACTTGTACATACTTTCCGTAGAAAAATATTGTGTACAATTTTTACATTTTTATTAGGTATACTTGGCGCATTGATCTGTCCAAATCAGAAAAGTACTGGGTTGGTTGGTTTACCGGTTTAAGCGAAAAATTTTTAAATTTACGTGTCCCGAAACAACTTTTACTGGCCAGCATTGATGGTTTGGATAAGGCTTTAACTGTTGGTCAAATGCAAGGTATATACATACATACATATGTTGAATGGGGAAAAGAGCTTAGTGTTGTTATATTTTCCACAGGGCGTTTTCAAATGCAAGTGCTGGCGCGTTGTGGACACGCTGTGCATGAAGATCGTCCACATGAGGTAGCGGAGGTTATTAGTGGCTATCTTATACGCAATCGATTTGCAGAAGCAGTTGGCGAATTTCACTTTCATTTGCCATCATGTTAATTTTTACAGTGCCAATTAGCATTAGAGAAAAATTGGTTATAAAAAGGATTCATCGAGAATGCAATCAAATTCAAAGATTTAATTCGGAAAGTATATTTCACATAGAGAACGAGAAATATATGCGAAAAACTTAAATTTAAAGCATGTGCTACTAATAAAATATAACTAATAAATTATTTATTGCAGTTAAACAATAATCGTTTTTACTGTTTTGCGCCCTAGTGTATTGGTAACTTCCTACCTTCCGTTTGCCCTTTAATAGAAAAAAGAAATTTTCTTGTGATTAAATGTGTATGTGTGATGGACACAAATATTAGGAAAAAAGTTCGGTGATTAACCTATTTTGGTGATTCACATTTACTCTGTATGACTATACACTTTTGTGTTGCTCAACAGCAAACACAAATTTCCAATAAATTTTTTAATGTTTAGAAATATTTATAATTGGACAAAGGATCGCTCAATAATCTTACATCTTGGTAAATTTAAATATGAAAAGGATATAGTGTCAACTAATGAAATGTGCTTGCAAAGTGCTGAATATAGTTATGTGTATATGAAAATATATGTACTATTTAGTTCGATTTTGATTTAAGGTAAGTTACTGCTAGTTATTGGATGAAACTCTGTCTCGGCTTCCAACCACGTTTTACYGCTGAAGTTAGCCTTTCGCTTTAATACCGAGTTAAAAGCTGGCACAGTTAATTTGTATTGATTTTAATTAATTTTGTATACAAAATAAAAATGTGCACCTTTACTCCACGAACCGAATGCCACTTTTTTTAATTTGAATTTTCGTTTCAAGCGCCTTTATATGACGAAGTCGTTCAGCTATTTGTTCACGAACCTCATTCCGGAAACGCTTGCCTTCACCTAATTCTTCCATTTCAGCTAACCAGTTTGCGCGCTCATTAATCTGATCTAGAACTATAAAAATATGTAAAATATTTGTCCAATTTACATGTGTCAGACATTTACGTTCATCAATTATATTTTCTTCTGTGGCRTGGGAGTCCGTTCTGATTCGTGGCTTACGTTTTGCCTTCACTGACGTTTCTGYAAGCCGCATACCTGACATAGCTTCTTGCAGTAGTTTCTTCTCTTTTTCTGTAGGCATCCTATTCGTTGGCCTTGGTCGGTAAGAGGGTAGCTTGTAGGCGTCACTAGCTAAAATCTGTTCAAGGCTCTTTCGTTTAGCAAGATGAGCACGTTGCAGGATATCAAGCGCACCAGCTTCTGGATCTTTTGTGTTTATAGGTGGTGGCTCAGGTTTTGGCAATGGCTCCCCATTTCGTAAGTGATAGTTGATCTTTTTCCGCATCAGCATTGACATTTTGGACTCAGCCATAAGTTCTAAGGCAACATAATATATAAATACCATAAGTGCACACTTAATGTACTTATATATGAACAATCTTTGGTTAAGAACCTTTCAATAAATCCGCAGTTTCTTTGCTGTACTCTATTTTAGGACTGTGAAACATTCCTCCTTGGGCAATGCGTTCACTTGGCCACATAATAGCTTTATTGTCCGTACTTAGAATACTTCCGTTATCCTGCATAGGACCCCCTGTGATTTTGTCCTCACACCGAGTTTTTTCCATTTTAAATATCCACGTATACACCAGTCTATTTAACAAATACAGATTTATAACAATCTACGAATTTGTATAAAAATAAAAATTACGCAAATTGACATTTTTTTGAAATCATACTTATATTTTCAGTAGCTCAAATAAGGTAGCAGTACTTTATCATATCCGCAATAAATTGTCATGTAGATAAATAAGCCAAACTGTTTGGAGAGTGTTTTTAACGCCATGGTAACACTCAGGTTCTGTGTAACTAAAGCATTGCGTAAAGTATTTGGTATTTTTTTGTGCGCTCCCTATCATGATAAATAGCGGTGTTATAGAGAAGGAAAGGAAAACACAGAATACTTATCCAAATAGACTTTATTTATGTCGATATTAGATATTAAATCTGTTTAAATTTGTTATTGTACTACACAAAGATACAAGATTCGTATGTCGTTAGTTATTTTAATTTTTCTTATTCATCTAACATACAGTTTCATAAATAAACAAATTATTAACAAATTAACTAACATGATATACCTGACTGATATTTTTTTTATTTTAGTTTTCTCAACACAAATTGTCAATAGTTCTTAATTAATTACAAGCTTTAGCATGTGTTATCGTCCTTTGCTCTGAATTTCTTTACTATTTGCGCTTGCCTTCGAATGTAATTTTTTTTTAATATTTTATAAAAATGTATGACATGCACTCAATAAGTAAAAAGTGAAGGTATCGGCCGAACTWATCTGTAAGCTAGGGATAGAAAAAATTTCTTCTAACATATAAAAATAATTATAMAATTTTACTACAGTGCGTACTCAGTGGATCACAACTTGCATCCAAGTTTTATCCAATACGAAAAAACTCAAGTCAATTGGTTTTTATGCAGGGCGATTTCAGTTCGTATATAAATTTATCWTGCGTTGCTTGGCATAATGGCATAAATAAACGCGTGTGTAGCCGCCAGACGAAAGTGTATTTGTGTACACTCTTTGTTCGGTGATCTTCCTAATTCTCATGATTTATCTAGTGTCACATACATTTAAAAGGCAAACATATGTATGATGTACGTATATACAATTACAAATATAAATACAATTACGATACAATATAACAATATAAACAAATAAAATTGCTAAATAAATTGATTTTACAAATTAAATTATAAACAGCAGCCCGGGCCTTAAGAGGGATTTGTCTCTATAAATATAAATTTGGCCTAACTTGCGCAGCATTCATTAGCGTGAGGTTTAGCTCACAGTTCATTGGATCATAAGGCTTATAACAGTATATATAATTATATATATATAATATGTATATAAGGACAACTCTTAAATTACTTCATTATGTCGGTATGCTGGACAAGAAGTTTACAAATATTGCCGTAGGCCAATATAATTTCAGCTTAACAATAGTTTTTTTTTAATCTATTTGATATCTTACATACTACTGTCGTATAGCGAATATATGCACACATACMTAGTGTTAAAATCAAAGTTCAGCTTTGCACAGTGTTTATTAATAAGACAAAATATTCAAAGTGTATCGTGTCATCTAAAGTTGTCTAATATTTTAGTATTTAACTTTTTTACTTTTTAATTAAAATTAAATTCAGCAATTACATTCCGTACGAGAGACTTGCCTGAAGTTAATGAAACTCCTGTGTATTCAATTTGAATAAATGTCAACAATTGAGCGTCAATAGTGTTTATAAGCGTTTTAATCGTTTATATCTTAGTACCAGAAAGTAATTTTAGTCAGTCTCATTGTCGCGATGCATTTTTTCCTAATAGGCTCTATTTTGGTTAATTTAGTAAATTGTAATTGAAACATTTACATTATTTCGAACGAAAACATGGTCRGCCATCATAATCACAAAATTCACCGAACTGTGTTTTCTGTCGCTTTCCAGTGGTTCCATGTGACTTGTACTTAATTTCTCAATGCGCATTCTAGAATAATGTGAAATGTTGCTCGAACTTTGAAAAATTTTCCTATATCAATGAAATACATAAATAAAACAAATAGTTACCGTCAATGTAGTTTAAAGAGTAACTAGSCAAAAGCAATATTTTCACATAACTACATACAATATTAATTTTTATCTTATATTGTCGATTTGCTAATATTAATCAAAATTATACGCTACCCCGTTCATGTTAGTAAGAGCCGAATTGAAAGCTATAATCCAACTATCCAAATATCTACAACAAATATCAAGTTTTAACCGAAATACAACAAATACAATATTATGCACAATTTCATCTACAATTGCATATATAATATTTTTGAATGAAGTACTCAACAAACTAGTATAAAATATAACAAGTTCAGTTGATGGCTTGCTCGGTCATCTGCAAGCACAGCGTCTCCAATTGATCTAAACTATTAATGTCGTTCATGGCTACGGTAGCGGAGCTAGACACTGGAGTTTTCATATGCACTTTATCCACTATTTGTAAATTCATGTTAGATAATGAAGGGATTGTTGTTGCGGGTACTAAGGGTACATTTTGTTTACCGCCATGAGTCTCATTGAATGGCGTCGACATATTGCTACAGTTTTTCACCGTTTTTACACCACAACTACAAGTATTACTACTATTTCTATTCACATCGCACAAACAATTTAACATGTTGTTATTTCGACAGCTATTGCCAACTGCGGCTGCTGCTGCGGCAAGTAGCTGCAACTCTTGCTGTTGCTGTTGACATAATAGGTTATTATTTAACATACTAGTGTTATTGTTTAATAAATTTGGCTGTTGAGGTTGTTGGGGACCAATCATACCGCTCACACCAATTTCATCACTACTAACCATAACCACTGCCGCCATTGTCTTTTGTGGTTGCTGGGTCTGCTGCGATAAGCTCTGTGATTGCTGTGATGGTTCGGCCTTCCCGTTTACATTCGCTAGACTCGTCTTATATGTAGAAGTTAAATTGGCATTAATAGTATTCTGGTTGCCAATAGCTGCCGTGATACTAGTTCGACGCAAGTGACCATCGCTTGATGGTGGCCCTGCGGGTACAATTCCTTGACCAGGCTTAAAGACCATTTTTTGGGGTTGTTGAGCTCCACCTGACACTAATATTAAATTGTTGAGAGATCTTCGATGTTGTTGTTGTTGTTGCTGCTGCTGATGCTGATGTGGGGGCAAAGTTGGAAAGTGGCTATGCTGGGGCAAAATAGTATTTTGATCTGGTTGTTGTTGTGATAATTGTGAATGATGATTGTGATGTGGTTGTTTGACCTGGTGTTGTTGGCTGTTCATGAAGTTTGGATATGACGAACTTTTGTATTGATGCTGTGCGCTACCATTATTTCCACTGYTGCTGCTGCCTATACTTCCGTAGTCAACCGGTTGTGTCTGGCTGCCACCATGGAGGTGATGCTGATGTTGATGATTTTGTGATATGCTACTACCAGAGAAGTTAAGCATATCATTTGAATTTTTTCTGTGGTTAATGCGGTCATTACTTCCGTTCTTTATATCACATTTTCGAGATTTCCCACTCCATCTGTATGATTTATTTAAACAAAGCATAAATACAAACGCCTGTATTAGTTCCAGAGAATTTAATGAATACTTACCTAGATTTATTTAAAT